AGTGTATACTGTAGTACTTCCCTGGGGCTTTTGTTTCCCACTTCTGGTACTCCTATTGATAGTAATAGGGGGGATGTATGTTCCAGATCAACAGCTAAGGCCATGTTAATCTACTCTAGCAAATATTCCACATCTTATACAGCAGCTACAATTGTGCTAAATTTGGTTGAATCCAAAGTAGTCCACTATCATCCTTCAGCATTTAACAAGTTTCTGTTGTAGCCAGACTGATGCATACCTCATGTCTTTAAAGGTGGCACTAATCTCTGAAATTCTCTTTCTGATACAATACTGATTTTAATTTACTGTCATAGCCAAATCAAATAGTTTTAGAGTCCTCTAACACACCATAATGTTTCTTAACCCCAGGGCTAAAGAATCAATGCCAAAATACCAACTGTGTCTGTTGGTACCACTTGGGTACCAGGGAAATGATCAATGGGAGGATCAGATCCCCCAGAAAATGTACTCTGAGGCACAGATTTCTGTTCAGGGAGTTTTTGTGAAGAGAACTGTGAGCAATAATCCCTGTGAGAGATAGAGGATATGGATTTGGTATGGGGAGAAGCTGAATTATACTGCAATTACAATAAGCCTTCAATTGGTTCCACAGGGAACCTTAAAGTTGGGAAAGCCCTTCAGAGTTGTCCCAAACTGAGGCAAAGGGGCCAGGATTTTGTGCCATTGCATTGAACATTCATTGAATTCAGTATGTCACAGGGGAGGCTTCTTTCATACACAAGAGTCAGTATAATTTCAGCTGAAGGTAATGCCTGGAAAGGAACTTGAGATTGAGGCACAAGCAAGCAACATCACTGACAATGGAAATAATAAAAGCCCAAAATCTTGAAAGGGAATATTAATGATGCATTCTAAAATCCATTACTCTGGTCTCCATATTTTGCAGTAAAATAATAGTAAATAAAAATATTGCAGAGAATATACCTATTACTATTATTCATTATAAAAAGTTGTCTATTGTTTATATAAACTCAAGTTTAACTAGGAAACCTGCATTCTATATCTGGCCACACTATCCCTAGAGAGAACATAAAAGAAAAGCTAAAAGAGTATTAATGTATTTCTCTTTTATAGTATTATACTGTGGATAATATGAAAACCTGACATGGGAGCCCAATGATAAAAAATTGGTTAACCTCAACAACTTTCTCTTTGTTCAGAAGAATCCTCAGGTTGTCTAATTATAGGAATTCTATGTCCTTCACTACATTTTACCACAGGAAACAGAAATAGGCTTACATAGAACATTTCGGAAATATTAAGGAAACTGGATTGGGGGAAAGACACAGGACATAGCATACATAAGAGAAAAAAACTGGAGCAATAGGAATGGAAGGAAGGGAAGGGGAAGAGATCACTGAGAAAGATTCAGAGAATTTACTGACTGCATGATGTACAAAAATAGAAAGTGGACAAAATCTAATCAAATTGTAAGCTCTTGATTTTAGGTTATAGACGAAATAAAGATGGTATAAGATATATGTTAAGCTGGGCGTGGTGCTGCATGTCTGTAATCCCAGGAGCTCTGGCAGCAGGGGCAGGAGGATCCCAAGTTTAAAGCCAGCCTCAGCAACTTAGTGAGATCCTAAGCAACTTAGTGAGACCCTGTCTCCAATAAATAAAAATGACTAGGAATATGGCTCAGTGGTAAAGTACCCCTGAGTTCAACCCCCAGAACCCACCCCCCAAAAATAACATATAAAACAAAAAAAAAAGAAATAGATTCAAAGGGAGAGAAATTATACATGTCATGTCAATGTCATATCATTCATCAGAATATAATATATGTGAATAAATTAACTAATATATAACACCAAGCTGTTGTTATTGAGCAGGTGATCATTTTCCACTAAATATATTACACCTGAGACTTTATAGATATTTTTAACCACCTGGCATTTCTACAAGCTGTACTCAGGATGTTAACTTACACCAGGAAGAATTATTAGCTAAAAATATAGACACACTCTGAGAAATAAAATTTTTCAAATTTAGAATCTTAATTGAAAGATTTTATATTTATTGGAAATATTTGTCTACAAAAGGCAATTCCTAACTCAATTTCATTTTTAAAAATTATTTTATATTGTCTATATTACTAAAGATCTTTTTGAAATATACTTTTTAGTTGTCAATGGACTTTTATTTTACTTATTTATATGCAGTGCTGAGAATCAAACTCAGTGCCTCACAAATGCTAGGCAAGCGCTCTGAGCCACAACCTCACTGAGCCACAACCTCAGCCCCCTAAAGATTTTCTTTTTAAGTAGAATTTCTCTGCACAAAAGGAAACCTTTCCTTACTGGCATTCTCTCACTTGCTGGTCTTGGATTAAGTTACCAGTAGATCTCCTAAACCATAATGCCCTTCACATCACCCCCTACATCATTTTCTATTTTTATTAATCAATCCAGAGCCACCAACAGATCCATTAAATCTTTGTACATTCCATAAGATACTTTCATAGCATCCTCAACAGCTAGATGTTTATATAGTACAGTCTATGGACAGAAAAATATAAGTAAGGAAATATAAATAAGGCTTTTCCTATGTTCATTCAAGATTCTAAAATGTAATGCTACATTTGCATTTGGTAGATAGTTCAACTATCAGTAACTTAGCCACAGTTATTAGCTGTAAAGGTTAAAATATCCACTACAGACATCAGTGAACAAAACAAAATGCAGCTCATCCAAATGTCTTCCAATCAGAAATCCCTCTTCATAAGTATTTCACACCATCTCCTGTATTCCCTAACCATGCCCAGCAAAGAGAAATGTATGTAATACATGTAGCTATGCCATTTTAAGAAATCTTTTCTTTTAACTATGTATTTTCCATCCAAAAAGACCATTCAATTTTCCACTATAAGCATTTACAAATTATTAAGTGTTGACTTTTATTTATCTGTGTGTGCATTATCCATCAACCTTTTAACCCAAGATAGCTTATAGCTGCAATTGAGTGTATTTCCAGACTAACTTCTTGCTTTATTAGGTTTTTTGGTGTGTGTATAGGGACTATAAGAATAACTTGTCATGGCATGACACAGTAGAAAGGTAGATAAATATGTTACTGGGGAAAAAAACGTAATATAATGGCATTTCAACCTCAGAGAGAAATTATTTTTACATTATATATTACCAGATTAAATTTTTCAAGTTTTTGCTGACTTCTGTTTATATAATAAATATGCATGGCATAGCAAATCACTACACTTATCTAATAAGTACAACTTTCTTGAAACTAGGTGTTTTCTATGTGCCAAACAAAATGTCAGGCACAGAATATGTATAGTTGTTGAAAGTTTTACTAAATATTATATTAACTCTCCTGTTATGTAATTATTATAGCTGAAGGAAAATGACTCTAATTATAATTTAATGGTTATATTACAATGCTTAAAGTGAAAAATCATTTGCTTCTCAACACAGTGAATTATTAGGAGCTCTCCCTGATAACTTGTACTTAAGATTAAGTGGGTTTCACCATTTGACCCTGCTTATCCCACTCCCTTGTCTATACTCAAAGGACTTTAAAAAAACATACTACAGTGACAGAGTCACATCAATGTTTATAGCAGCACAATTCACAATAACTAAACTGTGGAACCGAACTACATGCCAATCAATAGATGAATGGATAAAAAAAAATGTGGCATATATACACAATGGAATATTACTCAGCAATAAAAAAGAATAAAATCATGGCATTTTCAGGTAAATGGATGGAGTTAGAGAATAATATAATGCTAAGTGAAGTTAGCCAACCCCAAAAAACCAAATGTCAAATGTTTTCTCTGATATAAGGATGCTGATTCACAATGGGGCTAGGGGAGAACATGGGAGATTTAGACAAAGTCTACATAGAGCAAAGGGAAAGGAGGGTAGGGAGGCTCAAGAGGGTAGAAAAAACACGGTGGAATGAGATGGACATCATTACCCTAAGTACATGTATAAAGGCACAATGGTGTGACTATACTTTGTGTACAAGCAGAAATGTGAAAAATTGTGCTCTATATGTGTGATATGAATTATAATGCATTCTGCTCTCATATACAACAAATTAGAATTAAACAAAGAATAATAAAAAATGATTAAGTGGGTTTCACTTTTCAATTAAATATGGCAAATACTATATACTTTTATCTCATTAGTAAAAATTACAAGTTAAAAATAAAAATAAGCTAATGCTATATATACCTTTAACTGGGCTATAACAATAATTGTCAATATTTTTGTAACTTTTATTCCAGGTACTATTATAAGCATTTCCCCTTAATTCTCATTAAGACTTTAAAAAATACCTATTATTATCAATATTTTCACAGTTGAGAAAAATGAGATACAGAGGAGGTAACTTAGTGGCTGGAAGTTTCACAGCAACTAGGGACAGAACTGATAACTGAACGCAGTACATTCTGGTGTCAGAGTCTATACAGTTAACCACTAGACCACACTATCTCCCAGTTGAATTATCTGCCCTCTTCCTATTAAAGAGAACACACATAAATGGTGCTCCGTGTTTCTCTCATTCATATCTGACTAAAACCAGTATATCGATTGTCTTTAACTCTCTGTCAGTGACAGTCTACTCTGTAGGTAGGTACCCCACCTGTCCTATATTCACCTCCCACTTTGCACTTGATATGCTGATCTATCATTGTTTTTTTTTTTTTCTTTTTGTTCCCGATTGATTACAATTCCTTCAAGCAAGGATTATTGAAAGATGGGCACACAACACAGGCCTAGAATACAGTATGGGTCTAGTAAGTGTCTGTTACATGAACAAATGCTTCTCATTGTTGCAGATCTGCCTATTGGCTCTCCAGAACTGTCATATCTACCCCTCTACCTACACACCAACATCACTTTGACGTCAACTTTTGCAACTCTCCACAATGCAACAAACTTCACATTTGTCTTTGAAATACTTTGGAAGGTACAACAATAACTGTTCCAAGAGAAACAATATCTTACCTTCTAAATCTTCTTTCTCAAAGTGTGTTTTGAGAATAGAACGAGTACCGCCTCTATCCACAACTGCTTCTTCATCATTTCTCTGTAGATTGGGGAAAAAGAAGATTAAGTAAATATAATTTATCTTATAATTTATCTTCAAAAAATAAGACTTAATATGATCTAATATTTAGAGGCTTAATTCAGTCACTTAAATCCATTTGTACATTAGTAGCCTATTAGATTATCAAGTGTGGATTTTAGAAAAGAGACTAAAATATATTTGACCATATATTCACTAAGGAATATCATCTGATTTTTCATAATATTGGTGGTATACAAACATTCCCATTGGCATCATTTGCTAGTGAAATGAAAAACAGGAAACAAACAGCTATCCCATCAATTTAGTAACATACATCTTTATCTCTGATAAAGAATTCTTATTAACAAGATCACATTTTGAACCACACAAGGAAAGTATGAAAATCATTAGTATTAACACCATTAATGCTATGGCAGGGTGAAATGATTCCACTGCCATTAAAAATTGATCTAATCCCTTGAAAGCAATTAGTAGACAATTAATAGGTAAACAACAACTCTAATTACTTTGCTTCAGTATAATGCTTTTTATTCAAACTAGATGGTGAATTATGATGAAGTACATTAAGCCTTCATTTAGTTTCCATATATACTTTTACCAAATTAGAATGGCTTGGCAAATGCTATGTCTTCTGAACATTCGTGATCAAAAATAATAAACTCACTAACTTGATACTCAGTAAAGTAATGGAGAAAGCATTATGTTAGTACAATCAATCAGTACAATCAATTTGACCATAGAGGATGTTATGGTTTGAATCTAAAATGTTCTCCTAAAGTTTATATGTTAAAGACTGTGTACCCAATGCAGCAGTGTTCAGAGTTGGGGCTTTTGGAAAGTGATTGAATCATAAGGGCTTTAAAACTTCATGGATTAATCCATTGATGGGTTTATGATTTAATGTGCTATGAGGTGGTGGAAACTTAGGAGGTGAGGTTTAATTGGAGGAAGTAGGTCCTTGGGGGTGTGTCCTCAAAGGCTAAATCTTGCCCCTGGGTCCCTCTTCTCTTTCTGATTCCTCCTACCATGAAGTTTACCCTACCATATGTTCCCTGCATTGATATTCTGCCTCACCACAGGCTGAGAAACAATGGATCCATGCACATAACCATGGCTGAAATCTCCAAAACCACGAGGCAAAATTAACCTTTGCTGTTTTTAAAATTATTTCTTTCAGGTATGTTGTCACAGCAATGGAAAGCTGACTAACACACAGGAATAAATGGAACTAAAAAATACTAAAGGAAGTGAAATATAAATTATTTTTTACTTTTATCTGGTTGTGAACATCCATGTAGCAAATGGTTTAAAAGTGAACAGTGAGCACAACAGGAGAAATTAAAAGATAAACTAAAGATGAACAAAGCTTCCAGCATCTAGTTCTATTTCCAATTCTATTCTAGTATATGATTATTTTAAAAAAGTATTTTTTTTCTTCTTTGAAATCCAGAGTATGCCAAAGAAGGAGGAGAGTAAACAATCTTTTCTTCTTCTCATCAGTTAACTTGACACATCAGATCCTATGGACATGCTTTCACTGCATTAAGAAAATGACTTTTGACTGAGTACCACAATGCATACTACTGAAAATAGGAATTATGGGAATCCAGAGATAAAAAAGAATAATTGCTCATTTAAGATCATGAACAAAACAGACAGGGAGTGAAAACAAATGAAAAGCCAATGTTTCAAGCTTTGGGAAATTTGTGCCAATAAGATACATAAAGAATAAGAGTAAGGGGACTGGGGATGTGGCTCAAGCGGTAGCACGCTCGCCTGGCATCCTGGCATGCGCAGGGTGCTGGGTTCGATCCTCAGCACCACGTAAAAATAAAATAAAGATGTTGTGTCCACCAAAAACTAAAAAATAAATATTAAAAAATTCTATCTCTCTTTAAAAAAAAAGAATTAGAGTAAGGGGAAGAGAAATAAAAGAAGAACCAAATTGACAAGCTATATATATTTTGAAAAATGAAACAAAATTATTTTGCAATGTTTTTGTACTTGAACTATATGATCAGTGATAACCTCAAGAAGGAATACATATAAGGAAAATTTCAAAATCAAAACCTAACCAAGTGAAGTAAATGAGGTAAACTATTGAGAATAAGTGGAAGAAGAAGAGCATATCATGCAAGACACTACAGATTCTTCTTAGGACCCTCCCTTATCAACTCTCTTTGATTTTTTGGCTTATAATGAGATTTAAGGCCCAACAGGTCCAAAAAAATGAGATATAAAACATGACCCATGGCTGGGGTTGTGGCTCAGTGGTAAAGCACTTGCCTAGCACACGTGAGGCACTGGGTTTGATCCCTAGCATATAAAAACTAAATAAACAAAATAAAGGTTCTGTGTCCATCTAAAAACTAAAAATATTTTTTTTAAAAAATGACCCATGAACATTTGAGCTATACTCAAAAATAATTGCAATATTCTTCCAATTTGCACCAACAGAAATCTAGAGAATGTGTGTGGGAATGGAAATTTAGGATTGGGATAATGATAGAAGGAATATGGAGGTAGCTTGGATTCAGTTAATTCATTCAGATGCACTAAGAAAATTCTATATTCAGTGTTAAAGTTCCCAGGGTTAGAAAGGGCTCTAACAGTTTGGTTGATTGACTAAAACACACTAAATGAAGTTAAATGACAGAACAGCTTCAGCATACTATTGAGGAAAAAGTGCCTGATGGCTTAGGGGGAATAGAATGTTGGACTGAATTTATCACAAAGGCCTGCTCACATTTCCAGGAGGTTCCAGAGGATACAGTTTTTACCATGACTATGAAAAACAAATTTGTGAGGTGAATGAAGCATCCTTGAGCATAACTGTGGTCTCTCACCATAGGTCAGAAATTATAACAGGAACTGCATTGAACTGTCATTGATACCTAATTATGATGGAATAACTAGATCCCAGGGCAAGAGGATGGCAAAGGCCAAGTAATAGCAATTAATCACTAAGATAAGATGGGTGTGGTTACCATATGGACAACAGAATCAAAACAATAACAGTATGACTCAAAAAGAACAATGTTACTGGCTACTTGATTGAGGTATCCCTATAAGTGAAAGAGATGGACTGTCTACTAAATTTTTATCTGTATAAGCCAAAAGTTTCTAAGCCAAGTGAACAGAAGTCTAATTTGAATCATCAAAACAAAGAGTCAGCCTTTCAATAAATTACCATATGGGAGCCAACTTACAAGCATAGAATCCCATATAAGGGAGAGAGGAGAGATCCACTTGAGGAAGAACCCTGCTACACTGCCAAAAACTTACAGTATTTTTTATAGCTCTCTCCAAAGGGACTTCTCACCTTTTACCAAGGTGGCCATACATTGGGGATAAGGAAATAATCCAACTGTGGGGGGATTTCTGGATACTCGCCTTGAATTAATATTTACCCCAATAGACTCAAATTGTAACTGCGGTCCACCAGCCAGAGATGGCTAATCAATGGAGTTTTAGCTTAAGTCAGTCTCATCATGGATCCAATGGGTTGCTAGACATATCTTGTGATTATTTTCCCTCTTCCAAAATGAATAATTGAAACAAACATGGGTTACAACTACAGGAGTTTTCAAAATTAAATTGGTGGGTTTTTTTTTCTTTTCAAGTATTTAGATCTTTGGCATATGTGATGGATGAAAGGAAGGTACCCGTTCAGAAAAGAATGAAGATGCTAGGAAAGAAAGAAATTTTTTTAAAATTGCCCTGTGCTAAGTATCAGAAAAGATGACAATGATCCAAGGACTTAGCCACCAGCATTATAGATAAGAACTCTATTTTTCTGAGATTTAAAGGGAAAATCATAAGAGTTGTTGTTTTCAGAGATATTCTGAAGAAACAAAGAGAATGGCAGATGAGAAAACCTCTATTAGATGGCCTTGTTTTGGGGTAGTGAGGATACTGAGAAATGACATCATTTTCCAACACTGACAGAGTGAGTAAATAAAGGAACTGAGTCATTGAGAAGAGTAAAATACTTGAACTCTCATGCATACAAGTTTAGAACATTATATGTTGCCCCATTAATATGTAAAATTTTTATGTTTTATGTACCAGGTAAATTTTCAGAAATTAGAAAATAAAAATATTTTTTAAATCTACTTTGAGACTGGCATTATAATCAACACTATGAAGGTATCTATTATGGATAATCCAAACCGAAAACTATTCCCATAAACTCTAATTTGAAGTGGCCAGGACAAAGGATTCTAAGAGAAAAAAAATCACAATATTTTCTAATTCCTTTTCATAAAATACTAAAGACAGTTAAAATCCTGTAAGAACAGATCATAACAAGTTACACCATTCACACCTTAGTATCATGTTTCCAATTAGCTGTTCTGATTAGTTTAATAATCTCTTAGAAATATCTTCAGAGGATTAGGTACTGCACTAGTAAAAGAAGTGAGAGGAATATAGTTAAATATTTTCCTAACTATCAGGATAAAATGAATAGCATTGTTGAAAGTCTAAAGAGATATTATAGTCAGGTGTCTGAAGTGAGGGACAATGTATCTAACAATATTGTTTTATACCAAATAAAGTTTAAAAATTCTATGTTGGTGAAAATCATAAATTATTTACATATAAAAATGTTTTTAAATTCTGGAACATAATCTTGATAAAAATTAAGACTCCATGTTTTACAAATGTACTTATTTTCAGGAAAAAGATAATAGACATATTTCAACATAGGAAAATCAGGTCTCATGTGCTTCACACACAGACAAATACACAGTGGAACAGCATATTTTTTAGCTTGAGGCCTTGTGTCTTTCTGACAAAATTTTCATTGACATGTCAGGGAAAAATGTTTGAAATCACGGAAAGAATTGTATACTTGAATGAGAGAATATTAGAGAAAAAGTATGAAAAGATAGGATTCTGAAGAGCAGAGGCCATTGTCTGCTCTTTGGCAAAGTTTTAAAAACTGTTGTTTTGAGCAATAAAAGTAACAGATAAAACTAAAGATGGGATTTATA